ATCAATCAATCAATCAATCAATCGATCGATCGACCAATCAATCAATCAAGCAATTAATCAATCAATCAATCAATCAATCAATCAATCAATCAAACAATCGATTGATCGACTAATCAATTAATCGATCAATCAATCAATTAATCAGTTGATCCATCGACAAACAAATCAACCAATCAATAGAGCAATCGATCAACCAAATAGTCGATGAGACATCAATCAAGCCTGCAACGAAACCCTCCTTGTCGAGAGAGAGGACGATTGAGATTAAAATAAATAAATAAATAAATAAATAAAAAATGCAGGTCATTTGCATTATTTGCGAGAAAACACTGTAAACAACACACACATAACAGCACACGTGGACTCTGCTGATGTTGTTAACGGATTTGTCAAAAGGTGTCATTGATTTCATGGCCTTCTTTCACAACTGCACCGACTCGCTAACGACGATCCCTTAAGAACGCACGCTTCCACTTCGACCACCATGAGTAATTTCTAGCACACCAAGAGCGGTTAGTCCTTGAAAATGCTCCCTACTTACGCCGTCTCTCCCAAATTCAAGCGTTGGGGTCCCCGTCGATGAGATCTCCACGGCTAAGACATTTCCCCCCCTGCTCCCCCATCGCACCCTCCGATCTGTCACCGCGCGACCTTTCCGACTTTGGAACGTGCCCTCTTCCACTTTGCCTTCCCCCACCTTCGTCGGATCCCCTGTCTCGCCTTTTCAACGAGGACTGTCCACGTGGCGCCATGTGCTAACGATCGATCTCAGTTGTACCACAACTAAAGGCGATGTGAGTCTGCCACATGGCGTGGACAATGGTGAACGAACAAATCTTGAAGCGCCCGCGTACTATGCCACGGACGGACGCGCCCGTGAGGATAGCGCAGGTGTATAGCGATGGCGAGGACGATGAACTCCAGGCGCCGTAGAAGACAACCCTCAGGCGAAACAAGGAATTGGCGCCTACGAACCGTAGCACATGCGCAGCAGCAGACCCGCACTGACCTTTATACTGGTTGAACAAACCATCCCCTGCCTCGTCGCACTCCTGGTGTAACGACTTGAGTTCCCTACTTTCAAAAAAAAAAAAAAAAGTATACATATATATATATAAGGGCCACAACCGATTATGCCATGAACCACGCCTGTTGAAGGAAGACGTGCGGACTCAGCGCCGTCACTAAGGCACTGGCGGAAAACGAGCGAGGGATGCAACGTCAAAGCATGTATCGACATGACGACCAACCATATAGCTGAGGCGGCATCAGGACCTGTCCCTGATGGCTTTCGCGATCTCCATCAACGCAGTGCACATGATCCTATTTGCCTCGTATAGACGCCTCGTGGTGTCGCTTATGGGCGTCGACCTCGCGCTCAAGTATGTCGCACTGCCGCTCCAGGATGGAACACTGCCGCTTGCTTGCCCTCTCCACAGTGTCCGCCATCAATGCACCGTGCTTTTCCATGACTTCGGTGATGGCATCGAACGTCTGCTAACGCATTTTCTTCCTCTTGCCAGCATCACCTGTGATGCCTGTACTGAGCCCGGACTCCCGCGCCGAACCTCCATCTTCGTCGTTGCCATCACCCGTGTCTCCCCCAGCGATGGATTCACCTGCAACTGATGGCGGACGTTGGGTGTCCCCCGACATCTGCACTTCTCCACGGGCCCTCGAGACATGTTGTCAATCTCAAGGTACACTCGCTCATCCATTCGGAAGTTGAAACCCTCTTTTGTTCTCAATACAGACGTTAAGTTGAAGAAGTTTTTCCCCTCAGAGGCGTTCTAGTATCGTTGCACCTTCTTATACTGCTGGAAGAGATTATCCCACTTCTTTCCGATGTCATCGGTCGTCCTCTTCACGCCCATCTCCACCAAACGTTTTTGCAGGTCTCGCAACTTCCATTCGTTGTTGCGCATGCGCCCGTAGTTGTGCGACATTCCATCGAAATAAGCTTGTTGGTCCCGCTTCGCTCGAGCGAGCTTCAACATCTCCACAACACTCCAAGTCGGATGTTTGCTACCCTTGTCGCCTACAGGAGCCCTCGATATTCGATCACCACAAGATCTCCGATTCTGTTGACGCCCGCATCCACCCCTCCCTCTACCACAAACACCCAGGGGTCAAATCTCCAAGTCATTTGCATCGTCCGCTTCGCCCTCGCAATGAAAATCTGAAGAATCATCACCAGTCGCCCTCTGGGTGTCGTCCGCATCGGCATCGCTTCCAACACACATCCTTGACACCCCATTCGTTATGTTCTCAGCGGTCGGTCCGCACATCTGTTGGCAACAGGACTCCCACACGTGCCTGCCAATTTCTTTCGGCGGGGTAGTGCTTGTGTTCGTCGCCGGTGCCGCCACCCTACGACGTGGTGGGGGTGAAGGCGTTGCCGAGTGGGGGGGTAACACTGTCGGTGCATTGTCGCCAGATGTTCCCACGCCTCGTAAGTAGGAGGGCGCCGGACGACACCCATCTGTGCTGCCACCCACCAGACACGACCTTCTGCCACGCCCCGCCACTCCTGCCCCATGCGCAGACGTTTGTCCGACGGTTGTGGCGGCGACGTGGCTCGATGCACAAGTGTTCGTAACCGGTGCACCAGTCCGGCTTGACAAACCGAAATCCAAGTCCACAATCTCCATGTCGCCTTCGTTGATACCCTTCACCAGCATTGCCGGGAACGACTGGCGACTTCTCTCTGCCTCCCTTTGTCAGCAATTGCTCCCCATCCAGTCCTGCGTAAATCCGCTCCCAAGAGGTAGAGTGTGAGACAGATCCTCCAACCATTCCTTTTTCGGATCCGGCGTTAACGGTTGCTCATGTAGTGACAGATGATTGTACAACATGGGGTCATACGCGGGTGTACGACATGCTGCTACTGTCGGGTCTAGAGTGGAGAAGTCGAGCGCACGTCTGTGCCGTCCGTTGGAGGTTTTCCGCCTTTCCATTGCTGCCTTCCTCGCCGTGCGTCGTTTCGTCTGTTCCCTGGACCCCGCACGACGACACACACACGCAACAAAACCACAAGCAGCAAGAGAAGAGTGGTCAGCAGCAGGAGCGGGACCCGTCGGAGCGCGTTTGCCATGAATCGCAGCAGGCGTGGAGTGCATCGGCCAAAGCTTGCTTCCGTGCGCCTGTCAATACCCGACAATGCACGCTGCCAAGGAGAACTGCAGTCGGCCGACACTGCTTACACGTTGGCGGATTTTTTTTTTTTGAAAAAATCAACCGTTGGACACCACACCCGACGACGCGCACAAGGAAAAGCCCACCACAATCACCGCCTCGGAGCGGAAGAACCACCCCCATTCCTTTACGCGCCAACGGTAATGACACAACGTCGTTGGGGGCCCGTCCCCTACTGGAGGCCGGCGGTGTCCGCCCGTCTAGACCACGAACTACCTGTGCACCACGAAAACCTCCAAATTTTGGTGTCGACACATGCTCCACGACGATCCGTCAATCGCGGCTCCTTCTGTCGAAAGGACCTCGTGAGGACCCCTTGAATCCAAGGACGTTTTGGCTGGGGATTCTGAGGAACCCAAATAAATCTCTCGGGAACGTTTTCACATTCATTCAAGGAATTTGGTGAATTAGGACGCGGTGTATCGATGCCGATTTCCTAAAAATCGGATTTCCAAGGAGGGTCTAACGAGGCTCTCAGTCTCTCTCTCTTCCTCTCTCTCTCTTTTGCGCTTCGTCCCATTGCTTTGGGTACCTTAGGGCTGCGTTACACGTACCCACACCCTAGACAATTTTCAACATGGGCAATGTGCTGCCGTGAGATGTTCAGATCGGATGGCAGGAACAATTGCTTTCTCGAAACCAAGCCTAAACCCCTGCTCGTGGGACTTAACCTCATCACACGAACACAGGCGCGACAATTTGCGCAACAGATATGCGGTTTGTGGGGTTCTACTGTGCCCTGTGCCCTGAGGGCGAGCTGTCGTTCCTGAAGTTGGTCACAACTCGCCTAGGATGACTCGTCCTGTGACTATGACCGTGATTTGACGGTCTACCAGTGCGTCTTTCCTTTCGTGTCTCACTCAAGCTGGTGTTGATTATTGATAGGGCTTATGATTGTGATGACTGGGTCGGCACCTCGACGATATACATATTGACTTACCGTGAGGGCACGAGTGTGCAGCCCGTAGTTTGTATATGCTTGATTGATAAACACACACACACACACACACACACACACACACAAGAGAGAGAGAGAGAGAGAGAGAGAGAGAGAGAGAGAGAGAGAGAGAGAGAGAGAGAGAGAG